AGATATTGGCCCCTCGAAAGAGGGTTGCCTGGATCACTGCTGCTTGGTCTGTGTACGATTTCTTGGATAATGGCTTTGATTATTTATCTACTTCAATTCGTAGTCATTCAATATTATTAGATCTTTAAACAAAGTCTAATTTTGTTGGATTTGTTCTTTTCCATTCACAATATTTTAATTTCAACATTAAATGAACATCAAGTTTATTGTTATTTGATTCAACATGTATTATTAATGCATTTAGTGATTTTAGTGATAAAAATTATTTCTTTTACAGATTTATATTCGAATAGATACATCCCCAGGATACATAATTGTTGTATATATATTGTCTTTATAGGTAGGTTATTCAATGAATATTTTTTAATTTAATTTCATTCTACTCAAATTGAGTCCTGTTTTTAATTTAAGGTCCATTCCTCTATTTTCTGTGCTCGAGTTTGGTGGTGTTCGATATTTTTTTTGGGTTACTAATTGTTACATTATTAAGTTAAAATTAAAGTATTATAAATGAATACTTAAAGAAATATTTAAATAGAAATGTTTAACTTATTTAATTTTAAATTAATAAAGACTTACAGATATTTAAATTGAAAAATGACAGACAGAGCGACTTAATTTTTTAATTTTAAAATTAAGAGGGACTTAATTGAAACAAAAATACCTAAGTTATTGTTTGTTATCATGTAGACTTCAATTCATGCACAAGTGATTTGGACGGTAACAAAATACAGGCTCCATGTGCTTCATGTCTGGGTCTATTGAAGTGAAGCACTTACCTTCCTGCACATGAGGTTGGCTTGTGGCATTGGTTAAAATTGTTATATATTTTAATTTATAAATTCATATTCATCCCGTCCCGTCCCTTACATTTTCCCTTATTTTTCTTTAGAAGATTATGTTTAAATTTTGCCCTTAATTTTTTTATATAAAATTCTACGTTCCGTTGGAGTTCATTTCTGATGCTCTTGTATAAGTTGAATGGAGTTATAAAAGCCTATATGCTTATTAGTAGTTATTAGAGAAACTTGATTCATCAACAGACAGTCACAAACTCACACAAAAACAGAAGGGAAAAAGTAAAGAAAGAATAGAAACCGATGAGATGCATCAGGTAGAGGAGGTGGTGTTGGCATTTGTGGGGGTGTTGGATTGCTCCGACTGGCGGTGAGGAGGCGAAGATTGGTGAAAGCGTTGGGCGGTGGAAAAGAGGTCCACCGGAGAAGACTCCGCTATCTTCCCAGCTTCAAGGGGGGTGCCGTGTTTGTACGCCACCCTCAAACTCTCATCCTCCGATTGCTTCGCCTGCGCCGTCGCATGCTTTATGCCTTCCTTGCTTTGTGCCATCGTCCCTCTTTCGCTTCCAATTTCACGAGTAGTAGTGGATCCTGTTGTTTAAAGCTACCACTAATACTCCACGTGTCGCCTTTCTGCCTCGTTTATGTGCAGCATTTGCTACACGTGTTGCTTTGTATCTTCACACGTGTCTTCCCCCTCTTACTCCCTTTCAATAGTCGCTTGTAGAACAAGAGTTCTTTTCATTTTCTTTCCAGAATAATGAGTTTAAAAATTATTATTTTTCTTTAAAGTTTTGGATTCAAACATCATAAATGTTAAGAGTGTGAATATTTAATATCAAATGATTAAAAATTATCTTTAAATATATATTTAGATAAATTTGAGGATGAAATATGAATATTCAAAAGTTTAAGAGATTAATTTAGAGAGATGATAATAATTTAGGATGAAATTAGAATGTCTAAAGATTTAGAGATTAATTTAGAATGAGAGCCATAGTTTTGAGAATATAATTAGAATATTTTAAAGTTTAATGATCAATTTAAAATGAGGATTATAGTTTGATGACATATAATGTAATTAACTCTTTTTCCCTGGTTTTAGAATAATGAGTTTCAACTTTCAAACACGAACCAAGCGACTTTGGTGGTAAAGAAATTGTTGTTATTACTTAAAGTTTTGGATTCGAGCGTCATGAATGTTTGGGATGTGAGTGAGTATTTAATAGTAAATGATTGAGAATTATCTTTGAAAAATACTGTCATATATTTACCTAACTTGACATTAGCATGTGTATTTAAAATTTAAAATATAAAAAAATGATAATTACATAAAATCGACAGTGTTAATCCATGTAAAATCAAAGAAAGTAAAAAAAAAGAAAATATTACGATTTAATTTGATTTTTTAATTTTCTCATTTTTTCTCAATCCCTATTTATATAGAGTTCGAATTATTAATTTATTTTTAATTTTTCGATTTCTTTTTTTAATCCTATTTATATAGTCCGGAGAGATTAAGTATCTCACTATTATTTAAATAACATAAAATAATTTTATTATTGGGCTTAAGTCTAAGGAAGTTGCTGCTCAACGAAAGTTGGTTTTTAGCCCAATAAGGATAACATGTTTTTTTATTTAGCCCATTAGGACATCTTGGGTTTTATTTTGGGATCTACTGTATTACAGTATTCATGAAACTCATCATGTCGATGTGACGAATTTCAGTAATTTTTTTATTAAAACTCGTTACCACGAGGTGATGAGTTCAAATAAAATATATATTTTTTATTAAAATCCATCACATTGAGTTAAAAAATTAGAATAAAAATTATTATTTTTTATTAAAACTCGTCATCTCAACTTGACGAGTTCCGTGTTATTGTAAAAAATGTCGTAGATCCAAAAATAAATTTCTACTTGTCTTATTGGGCTAAACAAGAAACCCATAAATCTTACTGGGCCAGTTTGGCCACGAAAGTTGGATACTTAGATTGCCGGTTTGGGCCAATGGGTCTAGTGGCGGGCTGTTACAAAATCAGGGCTTGCCCCTTATAAAAGGGCTATTTTGCTCCCTACCGCTCAGTTTTCTTCTCTCGCAGCTGAAAACCCTAACAAATCTCTGCGCAGCTCGCCAATGGGTACTCTCTCAAACACAGCCTCTTTCTTTCTTTAGTTATTGATTTTAGATACAGATTGTTTCCTTCCTTTTTTTTTCAATCAATTTTCTTCTGCGTTTCATATAGTTTTTCGAAATGTGGTTAAAATAATTACACATGCATTGCTTTTGATTATGATGGGGGTTATACGAGTGTAGGGGCTTACAAGTACGTATCGGAGCTATGGAGGAAGAAGCAATCCGATGTAATGAGGTTTTTACAGAGAGTGAGGTGCTGGGAGTACCGTCAACATCCAGCTATTGTTAGGGTCAACCACCCTACTCGTCCTGACAAGGCTCGACGCTTGGGTTACAAGGCCAAGCAGGTAATTTACGTTTCAGTTTCACGATTTGATTTGATGAGTGCTTGTTCTCCAGATCTTAATCAATGGATGTTCTTTAGATCCAATCAGATTTAAGCCAAACAATTTATTGTTTGCTTTTATCGATATATATGGAAGACGTTTAGAGTAATATATTCATGTTATGTTGGACGTGAGTGCTTGAAGCAAAATGTCGATTCCCAGTGTTAATTATGAAATGAAATGGTATGAATCGTGTGCTTTGTTTTCCGATCTTCAAAGGGCTATGTGGTTTATCGGGTCCGTGTTAGAAGGGGTGGTCGAAAGAGACCTGTTCCAAAGGGTATTGTTTATGGTAAGCCCACAAATCAGGGTGTTACTCAATTGAAGTTTCAGCGCAGCAAGCGCTCTGTCGCCGAGGAGCGTGCTGGTCGAAAGTTGGGTGGTCTTAGAGTCGTTAACTCGTACTGGATCAATGAGGTTTGTCGGAGTTGCTAAATGTTTTGGTTCTTTTGTTTGAATTTGCATTTTTTTGATGGCATTGCCCTTATTGTTTTGTGCATGTTCGATCTTGTAGGATTCTACTTACAAGTACTTTGAGGTTATCCTCGTTGATGTTGCACACAATGCCATCCGCAATGACCCGAGGATTAACTGGATCTGTAACCCTGTTCACAAGCACAGGGAGCTCCGAGGACTCACGTCTGCCGGAAAGAAAAACAGGGGTCTCCACGGCAAGGGTCACTTGCACCACAAGAATCGGCCTTCTCGGAGGGCAACCTGGAAGAGGAACAACACCCTCTCCCTTCGTCGTTATCGCTGAGTTTAGTCGGTTGCTTTTAGACAATATTAATGGCTCTGTATTGTTGGATTCTAGACTTCATCCTCTTGAGTTTGAATTTTTTGCATGTTTTCTGTTTGAGTTTGAAACTTTTGCAGGGTTATCATATCTCGACGCTAAAGATTAAAGTTTCCACAAACAAAAACAAACAAATTCACACGTTAATCGAATAATTTTAAGTATATAGTTTTAATTTTAGTCTTTAAGGATTTATATTAATTTAAATATTTAAAATAGTAAATTATAAACTTAGTAATTGAACTTTAATCTCTTCTATTTTATTTACTATATTTTTAATCTTTTCAATTTTCTTATTGGATTTAATACATTGAATTTTTTGTCATTTGGCAATTTAACAATGTAGTTTTTAGCGTCGTTAATTATTTAACGACGGAGTGACCAAAATAGGATAGAACAATGTTCAATGGTCAAAAAATTTGATGTTTGAAGTTTAGTGAAAATTAAAATTTTTAAAGTTCATTGAGTAAAATAAAAGTAGGGTTGTAAATTAACAGGAATTTTTGTAAATTGTTCGTATAACGTTCGTTTACGTTCATTTATTAAGTTAAATAAACGAGTATGAACAAAAATTTGTCGTACGTTTAATAAACGAATGAACACGAGAAGAGGTGTGTTTAGTTCGTTATTGTTCATAAATAAACTCGTTTATATGTTCATGAACACTTTTGTTTATATGTTCATGAATATGCTTGTTTATAAACTCGTTTAATTTTTTATATTTCAAATATTAGTGAAATTACATACTAAATTGAATACATATTAAAATATAGAGTTTAAATTATAATTCTAAGAAGATTAAGCACCAATTATATAATTTTATAAATTTCTACACAAAAATCTTTTCCCGTGCTCTTATCTTCTACGCTTCATTTCCCTTTTATTTTATTTTTATCAAATCCTAAGTTTATCAAATTTCAGCCGTATCATTTCTTTCTAAGAAGATTTTCGAGTTTTGCAGTAGTTCAAGGTTTATAATCAATCCATCTCTCTTTCCTTATTTTTTTTTCTTTTTTAGCTAAACAAATGGAACCAAATCCTAGGTTTACTCGCTTAATATGTTAGAGTTGCTTTATCTGTTCATGATCCTCTTTCATACTTCTAAACTATATGATTACATTCTGTGGTCTTTTTGTTTATTAGACAAAGTGTTTAATTCGTCCGTATGTATGATTTTGTTGATAGTATCCGAGGCTTGAGCAAAAAATCAGGGTTGTTTTTACTTAGAAAGCAGCATGATTAATGACAGTCATTTACAAGTTAAACCACCTGTCAAAAACCCTGCTATTTTTATGTAGGATAGGAAATTCTTACTATTTAACTCGGTGATTGCTCCATGATACTTTACTCGAAGAATAGGCTTGGAGTTCCGAGAGTTGAACAAACTATACTTTCTGAGATAAGAGAGGCTGTGTGATTAAGACTTTTCGATGTAAAATTTAGTCTTGTGTCAGGGTTTCAAATCGTGGTCGCGTTTTCGGTTATTTCGGATTTACCGTGATTGCGGCCGTCGCGGGTAACTCGGAAGGTGGCGAAACCGCTATATCGCGGCCGAAATCGCGGTTGCGGACCGTTTTTTAAAACCCTGGCTTGTGTATCATGTTCATATATAACTAGGCTTCGCATGGGTATAACACGAAAGGGGGATTAGATTTGTAAATGGTGACTGTATAGCTAACCATATTGTTGGATTGTAGGAATTATTTTGCCTCTTTGGATGATGCAATTGCTTCAATAATCTATTTTGGAGATTTGAAACTAATCTTCTTCAAGAGTTGCTTCTATTTGGTTTAATTTGGATTTCCTTTCTTATATTTAAATTAATTTAATTTAATCGTACCCAATGTATTAAGTGCTTTCACATTCTTTGACTGTTGGTTTTCTTCTCAAAGGAACTAGAGTGAAGAAAAAGGAAAGAGAACATCAGATTAATTTCATCTTCAACTCAATAATTGGTTGCATCTCTTGATATATTTCATTGTTCAACTTCATCAAACGTCATCAATAGGTATGTAAAAAAGTTCGTATTTTTTTTTATATTAGTAATATATATCAGATCCGACTCTTTCTAATAGTCTCTCCAAAAATGGGGTTCGGGGGAGGCCACAAAGAGTTCGGGGGAGACATTTTCAGATCTTTATTTGTGGTATGTTATTCTCTTTTACCTTGTATAAGTAATATGTATTATTGCTTTTTATAGAACTTGTTTATTATATGTAGTGTTACCCACTAATAATGATTTGATTTAATGTTTAATTATTTAATTTGATCACCTAATTTTATTTTTTTTATGTAGGGCAAAAAAGAAATTAAAGAGATTTTTTTTACTTTGACGTTATAATTTTAAAATTATTTATTTTTTTCTCTGATTTTTAAAATTAAAGGTATTTATAATTGTCTATGTTGCTGCTAATTTCGTTTTACCATTCTTGAGGTTTGTTTTTATTTCTTAGGTTCTGCAGGTGAATCGATTGTCGTTTTAGGAGGGATATTTTGGTTGTGCTTGCCATTTTTTGTTGTTGTTTTGACTGTGTTGTTCGATATGTGACGGATGACGTTTTGCTAAGTTGCTACTCGTATGATTTGGTTGGTCCATTTTATTTTCAAGTATGTTTTAAGATGGAAATGTTCATGGATGTTTATAAATATTGCTATAATGTTTTAAGATTGTAATTTGTTATTGTGGACTGTTAAGTTTTATTAGTTGATTATGTTTAATTTATTATTTTCTATTTATTTAGTAACATTTTTGAACATATATAAACGAGTATGTTCGCGAACGCTAATCGAACATGTTCGCGAACGCTAATCGAACATGTTCACGAACATATAAACGAATATGCTCACGAACACGTTCACGAAGGTTGAATGAACGAACACAAACATAATATTGAAAATTAAACGAACATGAATCGGACATGAACATCTTTAAATATAAACAAACGAACACAAACATGATTTTGTTCGTTTAAGCCCGATTCATTTACACCCCTAAATAGGAGTGAGAGTAAAATTCAGTGATGGAATTTATAATTTATCCTATTTAAAAAATGGGTTGGTTTTTTATTTAAACCTAAAACAAATATTTTTTATTTCATTTAGTTGAAGATTTTATATAATAGTTCCTGTATTATTTATTTAACAAAATTAAAATGAAATCAGTCAGATGAGTTTCTAATCGGTTATCATATGATTTTCGCAAGTGAGATGAGTTTCAAATCGGTTATCATAGAAGGTGATTCAAGAACGGTGATAGAGAAGCCCAAGAACAGATCTCCTGACCTTTTTGAAATCAGTGCGTTAGTTTGGGAACAGCAACGAGCGGATTCCTTTCATGCATGCTCGTTTAACTGCATGGTGACTCAGAGGATTCGTTATGTGTTGAAGAAGCACCGGATTGTGTGGAGTTAATGGCTTTGGAGGATAGGAGATGGATGGCTTCGATTTAAGCTCATCTTCGAAGGATATGCAGTTTTACACAGGCTCTATTTGGTTCTCTCTTCTCTCGCCTGCGATTTCTCAATGCAACTTGATTTTGGAGCGAGAAGATGAACGGGCAGCTCTTGGGTGTCTTTAGTTTGGCTTTTTGATTGTTTTCTTTGCTTTGTTTTATGTTTTTACTTTTTACCGTTTTGCTTTCTTAGTTGGATTCTATGAACTCATTTACTTTTTTCTTGGTCGAGTAATAAATAAGCTGACCATTTTATTTCAATATATATATATATATTGATAGATTGTGGATAAAATTAAAATATTAAAGAGTTTGAAGATAAATTTAGAGATGAATTTAGAATGTTTAGAAGTTTAGAGATCAATTTAGAATGATATATATAGTTTAAGATTAAAATTCAAATATTCAAAGTTTTTAGAACTAATTTAGAATGATGGTAATAATATAGGGATGTGTGTTGCAATTAACTCTAATATAACCAACATTGGTTTATCAACGGTATATAATGATCCACGTGTCGTACTTCGAAGCATTTGGACCATCCGATGATAACTCCTTTTAGATGTTTAATTTCAATTTTTGTTTGGTTCAGAATTAAGATTTTCCATCCCCGTTTTTTTATTTCCTCACTTATTCTTTCTCTAACGGACTGATTTTTGTTTTGTTTTGTTATACTTCGGTTTCGCCGGAACCCTAACTCTATTAACCGGATAATTCAAAAATCCGGTGAGTCGCGGCCACTGATTAATTCTTCAATTAATTTCCCCTCAGTTTGCTTTGATTTTATTCAAGCACATTTCCTTTCGCTTTATCTTCTATTTTTTGGTTTCTTCCTCTTTATTCTTAGTTTGATTCCGGCTTGTTGTTATGTTGTGGTTAAAGTGGTTTTTGTTATGAATTGCAATTTTTTGGTGCAGTAAATGACTGTACGATTAGAGAGAAGGTGATATCAATCAGCCTGGGCTTCATCACCGGATGGAGGGAGGTAGCGTCTCTAGACTTACTTGCTCTGGTAACTGTTCGTATTCCTACCTGGTGAATTTTAAAACAAATTATTTTTCGGAATTTTCATTTGCATGTTTAAATAGAGCGTGAAAACATTTGTGTGTCCAATTGAAGTGGGGAGTTTAGTGTTAAAGTTTAGAATAAATTTTTGTTGGTTTCCGCTTAAATAGATTGAAACCAACTTCTTTTCTGCACTCTTCCAGTTTGTCTTAAGCTCAGTCGATTGTGCTATAGCCGCTTCTTTTCATTGATATAATTCTACATTTAGCGTATTCAGGGTAGATGTTTTGCGTTTTTGTGCATGTTTACATGCAAATAAAATTTTGCGACATTATCCATTTTTTGAATTGACTTCATCAAACTTCATTAGTGTAATTTTTTGGGTTACTCATTGTCTTTTTAATGACATCGGGCTTTGCAATTGCTAGTGAACACTGAACAGTTAACATTTTTTTAATGCTTCAAATGAATTAATCTATTTGAGTTTATGTTCTTTGAACTGTAAATTACTATTCAACTCTATAGGAAGTAGTAAACTGGTTAATGTGGTTGGAGAAAGCTTCTTAACTTTACACCTTCCCTGCACAATTCCCATTGTACAAGGATAGTCTTAAAAGTCTTGGGCCTGATCTCTTATCTGTGTATTACCCGAACTGCAATTCAATAACCCATCTTCTTCTTCTACGTTCTTAGGGATACACTCATGGATTATGATTACAATGATCTCCAAAGCTCGAATCTTCATTTAGCTGGTGAAGGGAACAATAAATTTCTTCCTGTTTTATGCCCATATGCTCTCCCAAGATTTGATTTTGATGATAACCTTCATGGCCATTTAAGATTTGATAGTCTGGCTGAAACTGACGTTTTTCTTGGCATTGAAAGTAGCGAAGATAACCAGTGGATTGAAGATTTTTCACAGGGGAGTACTGGGATTGCATTTAGTTCGAGTGCAGCTGAACCTTGTTCAATTTCTAGGTGCAACAATGTCTGGTCTGAGGCAGCCTCTTCTGAATCTGTTGAAATGCTATTAAAATCTGTTAGACAGGACGAAAGTATTCTCGGTCAAACTATCAGTAAGGATTCAGATGCATGTGATGAACTGGGTGGCGGCGCAATAAAGCTGATGGAGCCTAGTTTGAAACCTGGAGAGAGTGATCTTACTGAAGTAGGGGATGCCTTACAGCCTGCTTCACAGGCAGATGAGATTCCTGGAAAATTTTATGGGTTGAAAGGTGATGTATCAGGAGATCAGTTGGTTGACAGTGTTTCTCAGACGCAAGAATCTAAAGCTTCAAATACGAGTAATACCGACTTATCTGTGAGAGATGAGTCTAAAGATGGTGAACAAATTGTTGTTAGTGAAAGTCAAGTGGAAGCTTCATTTGATCAATGCATGGATAACAGGGAACAGGTAGATAACTTTTCTTCTGGGACACAAATTGATATCTTAGTTCCATCTGTACAAAACACCTGTGAAAGTAGTAAGGATTCAGATGCCTGTGATGAGCTGGGCGATATAATAAAGCAGATGGAGCCTAATTTGAAGCATGGAGATAGTGGTCCTTCTGAAGTAGGGGATCGCTTACAGCCCTCCTTATGGACAGATGAGTTTCCTGGAAAATTTTATGTGCTGAAAGGTGTTTCTTCACCACATGAATTCGACTCCTCTGTTGATGGGACATTGAAAGTTCCAAATACAAGAAGTATCGACTTACCCGAGAGAGATAATAAAGATGAAAATAAAGTGGAAACTTCAGTTGATCAATTTGTGGATAACAGGGAACAGTTAAATAAATTTGCTTTAGGGTCACAAGTTGATACTTTGATTTCCTCTGTGCAAAACACCTGTGCAAGTAGTGTTTTTTTAGAGAGCCAAGATACCACACATTTGAAAAATGATACTGTTGATGAAAATGTTAACAGTTTAGCAGGGGAAAATGTTGATTTGAGCCAAGAAATTCACTTTGATGGTGAGAACTTGATTGAAAATGCAGTTGCAAGTGTTACCTCAGATGTGCAGAAGCATTCAGTTTCAAACATGCAATCTACGGAAGATGGACGTGTTGCTGGAAATATTACACCTACTGTGGGGGAGCCTTCTAAGAGGACATTGAAAGAGAATTCTGACCTCCATACAGTGGAAGAGTGCAGTGAGGGCTTGGCTGTAGAAAGTCCTCTGCCAACTGGCATATCCAATGCTAATGTATTATCTGTTGGAAAGTTACATGACATATCACCAATGCCCTTTTTTGGTGATACCATCATTAAGGAGCAGGAAAGTGAAATCAGCAATATTGATACTCAAATTTCTGTGATTGGGGAGCCAAAGTTGGATAACATGGATTCAATGGTGCAGATAACATGTGATGCCACTGAGAAGAAAGATTTGTCAGAAAGTGATTGCCACTATGATATGAAAATCTTGAGCAGCAAGTCTGAGAAACATTTGTTGTCTGTGGAAGATGGTAAAGGTTCTAAAGGTGAACGCGATTGTGCCCAAAATACTTTGGGAGCAGAACCTATGAGAGTAGATGAGGATTTTATAGTCACTGAACATACTGATGATTCTAAATTTGAGCAGAGTGGTTCAGTTGCTGAAAAGCAAAGCACCAAATTGCCTTCTCATTCTATTAAAACTGACCGCGGAGAGTATGGATCTTTGGTTGTAATAAAGAGAGTTGATTCCTCTTCCTTTGGCACAAGTGACACTGCAAATGAGTTGGCTTCAAATTTACTATCCGATGCTGCCATCAGTGGCAAGTCAGGTAATTCTTGTTTTTTTGATAAGATTTGAAGGCCTCATTAAAAACCCCCTTCTTGATTAATGGAGCTTGTATAGAAGCTCCTTAATCAGGAAAAGAATGCCTTAGAACTTCATTAAAGAAAATAAGAATTACAACCTAGAAAAAGCTAAGCCAAATAACCCTTACAATAATCAACAAACCCCCATCCGAACTGGAACCAGAAACCCAAACGAAAACTGCATACAACATAAAAGTCAGCCTATACCAGCCTTTGCTAAGCATCAGCGTCTATATTAGCTGTCCTTGCAACCCATCTAACAAACCCCCCAAAAAATTCTAAGATTATCAACTATATCTCTAACAACCCCCCCATGCCATTAAGTTTGTTATGAGTCACTGTTTATTATGAAGCACATGTCCTTGCATTTTTGTTGCTCAAGATTTCAAAAGATAATGTCCACTACAATAAAATTCCCTCAGGTGCTGACAGTGCTGTATCCATTCAAGATAAGAACAAGACACTAACAAATTCAGTGCCTTCAACTTCAAATGAACTGCTTCTTAATGCTGACGAAAAGCATCCTGAAGATAGTGACCCCAAACTTTCTCAAGAGTTCAGTGGTCATATTGTTGCGCATCAGGCTGATGGTGACTTTCTTTATCATTTTTTCCCTGAAGTAATTGAAATAGATATTTTAAGCTTGTCATGATGGAATCCTTCATTTATCCTCTCAAATCTTGTTCCTTAGATCTGATCTCCGTCGTGTCGGTAAAAGCTGGTTTTTTCTTCTTCTTCTTCTTCTGTTTTTGCCACCCCTCCCACTTTCCCCATGTTTTATTGGGATGTATCTCCTTTTACTTGGAATTTCTGCTTGTGAAGTTATATCCTGTTTAAGGGTTATTTATGAACTGTCACCTTGTTTCTATGGAAGCACGGTCCATAAATTAATTGCATGCCCAACCTCTTTCACGGCTATATTTTCTTGTGGGACTATTTCATCAGTGTTCCCTTTTCCCTCTCATATTGATTCATGTTATTCACCAGTTTTCCCTTCCCCTCCCACATTAATTCATGTTATTCTTCTGATTTGCAGGTGATAATGCGAAGACACATGATAGTTCATTTCCTTCGGCTCCTTCATCTGAACCTCAAACTAAAACCCACATGAAGGAATGTGGTAGGAGTGCTGATCTTGAAAATCGTTCCTGTGGATCTCCAATTCTGATTAGGACTTTTGAGCTGTCAGAAAGTAATACTGGAATGAATACTGTGAAAGGATCAAAAGATCCGAGTGCCTCGGTGTCTGGGGTCATTAGTGAGGAAGCAAACAAAGAGCACTCTATTTCTCAGGATACTAAAGGAAATGATGCATTTTCAGGTGACAGAAATTTCACCTTTGAGATTCTTCCGATGGCAAATTTGTCTGAAAAAGAAGCTGGCAAGAATTGGCAACCTTTTTCTAGCGTTCAGCATGACAAAATATCCTTGGTAAGTGATGCTTTCTTGAAGTGGTCCTTCTTGTGCTCTAATAGTTTCTCGTTTTTTATTTTCTAGGTGATATTTTACAAGTATTTTGTGGTACTATATTTTATCATTTTATCGTGTTCATGCTCTATCTCTCTTTAGTCTCTTGCACTTGCTCTCTCACTCTTTTGTGTTCATACAACAAAAAGGTTGGAGAGAGAATTCCATCAACCTCTGCCTCAACCAAAGTGGGTCCCGAAACAGCTGAAGAGGTGAGTCGTTCAAATCTGCAGACATCTAAGAGGGATAATGTATCTGGTGGCTCCAAGGGAACTCCTGCTAGTAGAAGAAGGCGAGTGGGTAGTAAGAGCACAGGAAAGGAAGCTGCTAAAAAAGGCATTGTTGCAAAAGATAAGACTCCTGCAAGACAATCAAAAAGAAGTGGTAAAACAAGTAAGGCATCACTCAGTACAGCTGAAAATGGCCAGCTTGTGAAATCCAATGAGATGCAGCACTTTGGACACATGGAAGGTGATAATATGAACCCATTTGGTGTTCTTTTTACTTCTGTACCTAGTTTGCTGGACCTAAAAACCTCAGTTATTCATCTGCAGTTTTTCACCAGCCTTTTACAGATTCACAACAAGTTCAGTTACGTGCTCAAATTTTTGTATATGGAGCTCTGATGTAAGCAGTGAAACTTTATTTTATTTTATTTTATATACTGCATTGACATGTTTTGGCATTGCAATCATTGTAAAATCTAGTTGTCTGTGTTTGTTGCTTTTATTCTTGGGACTTTTAATTATTTAAACTCGCCGCAGTCAAGGAACGGCACCGGATGAGGCTTATATGATATCGGCATTTGGGGGACATGGTTAGGTTTTCTTATCTCTAGCTATGTTACCTTGGGCTTTTTTCTTAAAAAAAAATTAGTTACTATTTTGTATCTTATGCAGATGGAAGAACCATATGGGAGAAAGCCTGGGGAGCATGTATGGACAGAGTATGTAGTCAAAAATCTCATCCTTTTATCCCTGAAACTCTATTGCAAGCACATATAGGTATCTATCTTGACCTTAAGTTGTTGAAATAATTTCTTCTGATTCTGTTGTCTGTTAACAGCATACCTTGGTGATATGCTCAGGTGCTAAAACTCCTGATCAATCAATCAAACAAACTGCACTTCAGACTAAGATCACATCCTCGCCTGCTAGTCAGTCTAACAGCAGGGGTACAACAAGTAGTGGAAAGCCAATGATCCCCCTTTCCTCACCACTGTGGGTGATTCCTACACCTTCCGGTGATGCCCTTCAACCTGCTAGCATTCCAAGAGGTGCAGTTGTGGATTATCAGCACGGACTTTCTCCATTGCATTCATCTGTAAGGAATTTTGCTGGACATAATGCTCCTTGGGTGTCCCAATCCCCTTTTTGTGCCCCCTGGGTTCCACATAGTGCTGCATTTGATAGCAATGCCTATTTTCCTGTACTTCCCATCACAGAAGCAGTTAATTTAACTCCCGTAAGAGACGCATCTGTGCCTAATTCTTCTGTCATGAAACAGGTTTCCACAGTTCCTATGGTCCGGAGCGGGGGTCCTGCTAATGTCTTTGCAGGGATTCCCTTGCTTGACAACAAAAAAGAAACATCGAGATCTAGTCAGAGTTCTGCTGATCCAAAGCCTAGAAAAAAAAAAAGTCAGTTTCTGAGGACCCTGGGCAGATTATACCTCATTCTCAAGCAGAGTCTGTTTTCGCTACTGTTGTGAATAGTCATGCCTCTTCACCTGCTGCTATTACAACCCCTGACAATTTTATTACATTTGTCTCTGCTGATCATATCAAAAAAGATGACCGAAATTCAGATCAGAAGGCTACTCTGTCTGAAGAGACCCTTGGTAAACTCAAGGAGGCTCAGAAGCAGGCAGAAGATGCTGGTGTCCTTGCTTCTACTGTTGTTTGTCGCACTCGGGAAATATGGAATCAGTTGGAGAAGCAAAAGAATTCTGTGTTGACACCAGATGTTGAAACTAAGCTGACTTCTGCAGCTGTCACAATAGCTGCAGCAGCTGCTGTTGCAAAGGCTGCAGCTGCAGCTGCCAGTGTTGCCTCAAATGCTGCCTTACAAGCAAAATTGATGGCTGATGAAGCATGGGTTTCAAGTGGTTACAGAAATCCTACTCCAACTACTACAATATCTTTTGATAGTGTGAATCTTGGCAAGGCAACACCTGCATCCATCTTGAGGGGTGAAGATGTTGCTACTAGTTCAAATTCTGTTATTGCTGCTGCAAAGGAAGCCTCTAGAAGGAGGGTAGAAGCTGCTTCAGCTGCGTCAAAGCAAGCCGAAAACATAGATGCCATTGTTAAGGCTGCTGAGCTGGCAGCTGAAGCAGTATCACAGGCTGGGAAAATTGTTATGGGTGGGCCTTTCCGGTTGACTGAATTGGTAGAAGCTGGTCCGGAGGCATACTGGAAAGTACCCCATGCATCTTCTGAGCCAAATGGTGCTGTCAGAGAACATGCAGACAAAGGTGGTAATGTGGAGGCTCCTGGTTCAGTTTCTGAGCATCCACAAGAGGTTCCCACTGATAAGAGTAACCATGAAGTGTCACCAATTCTTAGAGATACGGACTGGTGGTCTATTCAGGATGATTCCAGGTTGAAAGATGGCATTCTGGGTGCTGCTGCAATTAGTGGAAATGATAAAAAGGGTCGCAAAGTTTCAGATATTGCCAAAAGTAAAGGAGTGTCCACTAAGACTGAACATGGGAAAGAAGAGGAAACTTTGAAAGATAGCAATATGAGGGAAGGTTCCCATGTTGAGGTTTGTAGACTGTACTTGATATATGAATTTAGCTTTTTAATCTTTGGTAAAATATATTTTACTAGGTTCAAATGATGCAGTTATATTTGATGGAAATATGCCATATACTGGTGCATTTGAATTTTTCTGCATTCGTCTTAGTAAATGCATGAAAGTGTTGCAGTTGAACATGTCTTATTGATCTTATATTCATATCTGATCTTTTACAATTTACCGTTTCCCAATTTCTAGGTATTGAGAGATGGAGGTGGCTCGAAACTAGCATGGTTCCCTGCTGATATTCTGGATTTGAAAGATGGCAAAGCTTATGTGTGTTACAATGAACTTCGATCAGAGGGTGAGCTATCATACATAGCTTGTTTTGGTTTAATCAACTGAATGATGGATGATAATAAATAAAGCAGATCTGTTGGACAATCCTTGTCCTTGATTTTTAATAAATCCTGTGTTGATGTCTAGCCAATTTTATTTTCTCATTGAAGAATATTGCATGATTATTTCCATTCTGAATCAGGAATTTTACTTACATGACGTGTGTGTCTATAGTGAGAAGATAAACAATGTGGTTAAATACATCAGAATAAGGATACCTTCATTTTCTAATGTATTTGTCTACACTTCCACTGTGTTGCAGTGGTTTCTTATGAGAAAACATCTCCTCTAGAGATATTTGGAGGTTTTGTCTCATGCACATATAAATTAATGAGGATGCTTTCTTAACAAACTTGTTTTGATTGCTGATCTTACAGATGGTGATAGGTTGAAGGAATGGGTGGAGCTTGAAGGTGAAAGGGATAAGGAACCCAGAATACGCAGTAGTCGTCCTATTACGGTCATGCCATTTGAAAGAACTAGGAAGAGACGCAGGGCTACCATGGGGGACTATAATTGGTCCATTGGAGATAGAGTTGATGCATGGATGCAAGATAGGTATGCGTGCATTATTTTCTATTTCTTGTTGTAGTGCATCAGATCAGAAAGGAATGTTACTATTGAAGATAATATAGGCATTAAAAAACCAATATGAATTATGAGGATGTAGTGCAAGGATAATTTGTCATGATTTGCTAGCCAAACTAGCAACATGAGTGATTGCCAATTGCCTTAATTTCTTATGCATATTTAAAACTCTCGTTAGCTGTGTAATGATGAAAACTGTTATGATTGTTTAGTAAAGAGTGGTAGAAACTATGGTAATTTGTCACTTGGATACTGATATTTGACTTTCAGCTGGTGGGAGGGAGTTATCAGCGAGAGGAGCAAGAACGATGAAACATCATATACTGTCCGTTTTCGCAGTACGTGTGACATTTTGTTAACAATCTTGTTTATAATATGCTCTGTATTAAAGCCTATGCAGCCTTTGAGAATTATTAACAGTTCTGTTTATTACATTTACAGTAGCTCAAGGAGAAACATCCATTGTCAAAACATGGCTTCTACGTCCTTCTCTGGTATGGAAGAATGGTAATTGGGTTGAATGGTCCATTTCGGGGGATAGTAATGGCTCTTCCCTTGAGGTGATATGTCGACTTATGTTTCTGATTGATGTTTCTCTGATAATAACTTAATGGCTTGTGTGTACTAAGTAGTTGATCTGTTTTGCAGGGTGATACCCCACTGCAAAAGCGACCAAGGATAAACAGTCCTGTGGTAGGTACTGAAGAGGGCACAAAAGGTTTTGGCCATGAGGAATCCAAGAAACCTGATGACACGAGATTGCTTGATTTACCTGTGGGTGAAAAATTATTTAGTATTGGTAAATACACTGGGGATGAGAGTAAGCCTGGTTCGCAACGAATGAAATGTTCAGGTTTAAAGAAGGAAGATTCAAGGGTTATTTTTGGTGTTCCAAAGCCTGGAAAGAAGAGAAAGTTTATGGAAGTAAGCAAACATTATGTTACGGATTGGAGCAGTAGAACTCATGAAACAAGTGATTCTACTAAATTTGCAAAAAGTTTAATTCCTCGTGGATCTGAACCAAAGGAAAAACGAATGGCTGTATCCAAACCGAAGGTTCTCAAATCCGGAAAACCACTAGTGTTTCTAGTAGAACTATTCCTCAGAAGGACAGCCTATCAATCAATGTGGGTTCTGAACCTGATGATGATGAAATTATATCAGGAGAGCATAACACGGAGTTCAGATCAGTTTCAAGTTCTGATGGTGCAGCGGAGGGCCCGGTATTATTTTCTTCTGTGGCTGCCTCATCAGATGCACCCCGGGAGAAAGCTTTCATGTCAAATGCTAAATCTGAACGTATTAGTAAAGGGAAACTTGCTCCAGCTTCTGGGAAGTTGGCTAAAGTTGAGGAGGAAACGAAAACCATCTCTGATGCTGTTGAACGTCGTAGGTCTAATCGGATGATTCAGCCGACATCAAGAGTAAGTAAATAGATGTAGTCCTTTTTTCCTTGTCTTTGTGCCGCTTACAGGTCTTGTTTATTGTCCACAGCTCTTGGAAGGACTGCAAAGCTCATTGTTAATCTCAAAAGTTCCCGTTCCTCATGACCAAGGTCACAAAGGTCAGAGCAGGAGTGCTAGAGGTGAAGTTTAAATTTCTTATCATTTGGTATTCATGAAGCAATGCAATCTTTACCCATTCTTTTAGCTTTGCTTATCGCCAAATGTGCACCGACCGATTCATGCAACTTAACCGTCTCGGCTGTATAACAGGAAATAACTAAGGTTTAGAAGAAGGGAGCTGTTTTGCAACATGGGAATCCAGTCTTACGAGATATATTGGATGAACAACAGGCAAACATTCAATTGTGTAGCTTGTGTAATTTATGCCATGACAGATAAGAGCAAGGGCCAAGGAACCAAAATTGCTTCTTTGGCTTTTGAGATGTAGCAGTAGATTATTATATATATAATATTTATTTTCAAATGATTTTTGGTTTTGTTTATAATTATATACGAAAAATGTGTGTTTTTTTTTAATTTTTCCGAGACGTTTGCGGAAACTTTCTGATAATCTGCGTTTTACGCCAAGCAGACAGACGAAGCAAAGCAACGTTCATGTTTACCTTGTTCTTGTTTTGCATTACTATTTCAGATTGCTGTTCATAAGGCAAAGCATTATGATAACGTGGAACTCGTCGGGTTCGGGTCCCGTGCCCATCCCTAGTTTGGTCTCTGACTACCTCTCTTGGGGATTTTCTCAAAGTCGGTGAGTAATCAATCGTATATTCGAGTTTATGGTGATTTTGTATCTCGAGTCAATGGTGACTCGTGTGGTTTTAGACTTTTAGTTATGGTAACTCAGTTTCTCAATTTTGAGCTTTGGTTTTGTTTACACATAGTCTGGAAGATTTGGCAAATTACGAAAATTCGCAAGGGGTCGTTAGTTGCAATCTTATGTATTAGTTCGACCGTATTTTGGTTATGTTCTTTTAATATTATTTCCTTGGATCAATTCCCTTTTATACTGTTTTTAATATTAACGTGTTAGAATCTCTGTAATCCTTTTCTTATAATGATGTATGTATCAATGGAATTATAAAATTAAATGAAAATATTCAAAATCAGATTTATTACGAGATATTTTTAATAAATTAATCGTTTAACAAAAAACAGGTCTTAAATTTGACATGTAATCACTAGATTAGATTATTATTCAAATGTTACAAGAATCATTCAAATGATTGATTTTAATCCTCTTGATTCATTTAAGTTTTGATCTTATCCTTTTAATTAGACCGATTTAGTTATCACTTTTTGATTCAATCAGTTGATCGGATTTTACTTTTTATGATTATCTAATTAAAGTAAAAGAGACATGAGGGAGAGTCTAAACAATGTCATCTTAATTCAAGGTTAAAAATGGTTGAGAATAGATGTGTCCGAAAATATTATAAAAAGTATAAATATTTTCGGTTGTCAATTAAAAATATTTTCTTTATAATATTATAGCGTTTTCAGTCGCGTCTATTTTCATCCGTTCATTAATCCTAAATTAGACTATTGTACTCCACAACTACCCTGAAAATTGAGACAGTGCTGTTTTCCCTTCCTCTTTCTGAGGAAATACTTCTTCATGTTCATCCTCTTTGGCTCCTAAAATCGGTTCCGAAACTCGGGTTAGTAACCTGAGACCTATAGTTGGAGCGCAAAGGAGCTATTAAAATAGCATAGATCAAGTTTAATTGAAATTGGGCTGAGTTGGGCCCAAAATAATTAATGGAAGGTGATGAAAATTTTATGAATTATGAAGTTTAGGGACTAAAATTATAATTTACCCATTTTATTTTGAAATCAGAAAACCCACTTATTTTTAAGTTGGGTTACGTGAACTACTCTCCCATAATATCTTACCAAACTTTCTTCTCTCCCTCTTATTTTCCAAAAGCAAGATAACAAGCAATCCAAGTCTTGTTTGATTCAACTAAGGTAAGATTGTTAATCCTCATTCATCTAGCTTTAATTTAAACTCCACATTGTAAGTTTTAGCCTTGCAAACTAAAAATGGGTTTTTGTGGGGTTTATGAGAATCTAAGGATTCTAACTCTTTTTACCTCTTTTGGGTAGATTTGAATTACATGGAGTAAATTTATTTTGTTTTGAACCTTTAGTTGAGTTAATGTAGTCGATGGCAGCGAGGCAAGACGAGTGAGGAAGAAAAGGTTTCAGGTCTTCATTCGCAAGCATCTCTTTCGTGTGCGAGTTCGGAAAGAGATCTCTCAGTGGTGACAGTCTCTTCTCCACCGTATATTTCTCCACATGCAACATAGATGTATGTGTCATTTTCGAAACCTAGTGCCCTTAACATCAAGCCTACTTCATTAGGAGTAAGCGGCCATTTTCTCGCCTCCTCTCTGCAACACCATCGATTTCCTGCATGAATACGATAAATTTATTATAGCGGGGTCAAAATATTTTTTATTTTCCATAAATACAGTTTTTTTAATTGAGGGGAGACTAGTAATTTTTTCTTATTTTAATATTAATTAATATTTAAAAAATAATTGGTGGGGTTCAAGGCTCCCCTTGGCCATGATATTCTGCCCCTGATTGCAAGCAATGTTTGTAAATGGTTCTGAAATCGTAAAAAGGCGGTATCTCACTGGCAATGTTTCCCATCGTTTTCGTATCTCTCCGTGCTCGAATCACTCCTTGTCCCCGCCACCGAAGTAACAACCGAAAATGCTAGCATATCAGGCTCAAGTCTGTAATTGAAAATGTTGTCAGATGCTAAAAACATGTCTATGCCGAGCTTAAAATCATAATTAAAAATGTTTCTCCAAGGCAGTGTATGAGCCAATGTACTTTTATTGAATACACTTGCACTCAGATGTTCGAACCTGCAGGAGTCATTGATGCCCCTGTTGTTCTGAGTTCTGACTGTTAAATTTTTCATAAATTATCCATGTACCGACACCCGTATCGATTACATATTCGAACGTGAATTCGGGTTATGATTCTCCAAATATGTGGAAAAGCTTTGAAAATAATTGAGTATACCCAGAATATCCTAGAATGTGGAACAAACCTCAGATGGACTGAAATAAAACGAGTAGCCTTCTCACGCATTTTCATGACAAGCTTCTGTAACATCCTTAATACCGGGTTAGTGACCAAATTGTAAAGTTTCAGAAATTGATGATTAAAGTAGGATAATTGAATAGTTAAATGATTTATTGGAAATATGATGAAGGTTTTTAGTAATTATTGAATGAATTAAATGGTAAAATGGTAAATTGACAAGTAAGATTTTTATATTCCTTTTATAGAAAAGGAACCACGTGGGAAATGAGAGAATTATCCACAGTTTTCTTTCTTCTTCTTCCTCCTCTCGTATCTCCAAGCTCAAAGGTAAGTTTCTTTATTTATGGATTAATTGTTGATTTTAAGGTTGAGTTTTGATTATTATATGATAACTAAGCTTAAAAAAGCTTAAGTTATCTTAAAATCAAAGTATGATAGAGTTAGGAGGGATTAAAGATTTGAGGTTCTTGGGTGAAATCTTGAAATAGAGTTCATAACTAGAGTTGAAACTTAAATTTGACTTGTCAAGGGTCTAATTAAGAAGTTAGAAACCATAGAATTGGAATTAAAACATATTGCAAAGTTGGTTAATTCTTGAGTTACATATGAGGAATAGAATTTTGAAGTTAAAAGATGGTTTATATGGATATAAATTGGTTTAAGCATGTGCATATGAGTTGAGAACATGAAGGGGATGAAAGATGAAGCATTTGAGTTGATTTGAGTAGATTTTCGGGCTTAAAAATGAATTCTGGGCTATGTGCATCAATGCACATTCAATGTGCACCAATGTATCAAGGGTAAATCTCCAGAAATTGTTCAGTGTGTATCGATGCACAGGAAGTGCATCGATGCACCTCTTAAAAATGGAAACATCGAATGCAATTAATGCATCGATGCATAAGGAGTGCATCGATGCACACGTTAAGGGATGCATCGATACGCGATAGGATGCATCGATGCACTTCAAGGGGAAATAGAAATAAACCTTTCTTTTAGTCTAAGAAATGATAGATTAGCGTATATCAATTGAATACTGATATGTATCAATGTATGATCATATAGATATCGAGCACGAACAAGTTCCAGAACGATTATCAAGTTAAGATTCGATCGAAAGAGATGAAAGCATAAAAGTGGATTAAAACTTAGTGAGGCCAAGGTGAGTGCATATGCATTAGTATATGATATGTGTGGAAAAGACTCGCGATGAGTCTACTTCCAACATTTGATTACATGATTTTATGAATATTAATATGGGTGATATGATTATTATTTATGCATGAATATAGTCATAGGTGATATATGTGAACATGTGAATTATATGAAAAGTGATATGAATTATATGAAAAGAAGCTATATGTCTACATGTATATGTGAAAGAAGCTATGAACTTATATGAACAGGTGATATGAAAATGTATATGTGAAATGATATAAGTGAAAATGCCCATGTTATGTGTAAAGAGAGCTAGAGGTATAGTTGGCATGCCAAGAGTCGAGGGTTCTACGTGGTCCTTCAGGACATATATGTATTCTTTGGAACATTTACAGGGTCTTGTGAGATACATATGTGATCCATTGAAATATGTATATGGTTCTTAAGGAGTGGTCCTTTGGGACAAATACAGTACATAGGTCCTTCGGGACAAAATTCATAGCCCCTAGTGGGACCCCATACGAGCTGTGGTGACTGCATAGTGCACAACCTCAATAGACTCGCATATCTACAGTTCTCACAGATGTATATGGGCTAACAAAGAGATAACAATAAAAATATATTACATGTAAAGTATATATTTTTGTGATATGAATTGTATTATACGATTGATATGATGAATGATGTGTACATTTGATTAAATGAAATGATATATTATTTTGTGTGATAGCATGACATGATATGATATGTTCATGCATGATTAAGTAGTTAGAATTATTTTAATGTGTTTAACGCCTCACTAAGTCATAGATTTAGCGTGTGATTGTTTCATACGTAGGTTACCGAAGTGAGAAGAGTAAAGAGCAATGTGGAGCAAGACAGGTCAGTTCTCCTTACCAAAGGTCAGATCAGAAGAAAGGTGAATAATATGTATTTTAATATAAAGTTCTAGTTGGTATGTATTCAAATAATACATTTTATAAGCTCTGAATAGTTCGGTAAAGGTTTTGAATAAGTTATATGTAATAATAAATTTTAAATTGCTCACTATTTTATACAAGTAAAGGTTTTGAAAAGTCAATGTGACACTTCGTACTCGAATCCAGGTCGGATACGGGTTGAGGGTGTTACATTTAATGGTATCAGAGCTAAGATTTAGCCAATTTTAGGCTTAAACCAAAGTCTAATGAGGTTTAAAAAAGTGTACGTGCCAACTAAAAGTGAAAAATTCTGATCTGATAGTGTAAG